CAGCCGAGTTCCCATGAGGAAAGCCAGTATGACAAGCTTCTCCAGGAGACAGAGCCGCGTACCATCTTCCCCTTGGGAGCCACGAAGAGATGCTCAAAGTGAGGACCAGAGCTCCCCAAAAGTGAACTGAAGCCATTCTCTGTGACAACAAGGTTCCAAACTCCTCAGACAATGAGAACAGCTGAGTTCATCAGGAAAGCCAGCATGACGAGCTCCTCCAAGAGAACCACCAGCTCCCAACAGCTTCTAATAGCACCCAGCAGCTTCTGCCAGCTCCCAACAGCCTCTCTTCTTCTCTGGTTCTGCCTCTTATGCTGCTGACAACAATCCTCAGGTGGGCCTCCCACACCCAGCACCACACTGACACAGTTCAGCTGGATGTTATAAGTTGACTACCAGTTGCCAATCCACCACAACATCAAATCTCTGACCTCACACCTCCCCGTGAGGATTGACTTTGCACTCCAAGTGTACCCTAGCTGGGCCCAAGTTTCCTCTTGTTATGTCAGGGGGCCCAGCTCTTAGCTTCAGGGACTAACTTTCTTAGCTTGTAGCAATCACTGCAAGCTGTAGTAACTAGGTTCATCACCTTTCCAACTGTCACCAGATTATTGATATGCCTGAGGTCTTGCCCTTGAGCTGCAAGTGTCTCTCCCCTCTGTCTTGTCCCTGCCCCACTCATCCAAGGGTCTGAGCAGTGATCCTGAGATTCTTTCTAGAAACTCATGTTTTGTTTTGTTTTATCCCCCTCAGCTGATAAGAAAATCAGAGAGCTTGGTCAAAGTCACACAGCAAGGCTGCAGTGAGGCTAGAATTTGAACCATATCTCTTGACTCTGATTCTACTGGTCAAACTTCCCAAAGTGGGATGATTTTATAAAATAATCTCAAATCATGTAATTACAAGGTTATTCTCCTTTGCTTTTCTATCAGTCTTCCTGATGACCTGGGGAGACTCAGTGTGGCACCAAGCTGCTCCAGATCCCCTTTTAACAGAGAAAGGGCTGAGGGGTCAGGGAAAGGACAGGAAAGGCCTCCAAAGACCGCAGTGCCCGCTAGAAATTATACAGCTTTGCTTTATTGTCTCTGTATTTATCTCCATGGTTACCTCCTGTTTATGGCAAATGATTCAGTATCTCCTCAATAGCAGTGACACAGATTTCTTTTTAAAATAAATTTCAGTATAATACTACACCAGCTGATATGTGATTATAGCTAAAATTAGGTGTTCTCCAAGGACAGTAGCCAGGGAAACACTGCCCTCCACAAGGCTGGCGTCCTGCATGCTGAAATCCAGCTTGGCTGCTGGTTCTGTTTACTGTCCCCTCCTGTGTCCTCCTAGCCAGGCACCTTTGTGTCAAAGGCCACAAACAGACTCTGAGCCTGCATGGCCATTGGTGGGGTGGGGGTTGTTGACCACCTCCATCTTTCTTAAGGTGGCCGGGTTGGCCTCAGCCAGCAACTGCAACGATGCTGGTGTCTTGGTTCCCAGTGTTTTCTCCTGACTCTAAGGACTGGAACACAGGGTGCTCCCTAAGGCTCCAAAGCTCCTACTTTAACAGGGATAGGGGTGGCCTGACAACTCTGACTTTGTGACTTTGGGCAAGGCCTATGCAGTTCCTCATCTATTAAAATAAGGCAGATTTTCGGGAGTCTCAGAATCACTGTTCACCCCCTGGGGTGAGTAGAGCAAGGATAGGACAGCACGGGGAGAGACACTTTGCCAGCTCCAAGGTAAGACCCCAGCTGCACCGATAATCCTGCAACAACTGCACAACTAATACACAAAAGACTAGACTCCTATCTGCCCTTCTAATCAGTGAGGAGTTTAAGGAAGCATCATGAAACCCTGATTGCATCATGGGTTTCATGAGCTGAATGAGGTATTGGTGGTGGGGGTTCAAGGAGCACCCCTTCATAGAAAATTTGTTCTCAGGGCTGGGAATTTAGCTCAGAGGCACAGCGCCTGCCTGGCAAGCGTGAGGTTGTGAGTTCTATTCCCGGTACCGGAAACCACCCCACCCCACCTCCCCGCAAAAAAAAGAAAATTGGTTCTTGTGCATGGCTGGGGTAAAGCTCTGTGGCTGGAGGGAGGGAGTTATGGTGAAATAGTAGGGACCCACTTTAGCTAGGTCTCCAGAAAAAGCCTGCAGAGCCCCTGAGCTATAAGGACTCTTCCAGTATGCACTGCTACAACTCCAGGCAGGAGCGTAATGGGGTTCCCTGTACTGCCCATCTCTCTCCAGACCTTCCTGACACTTCTGTCAGACTCTCACAGCTGCGGTGAGTGATGTACCTAAGAGCAATGACTTTGGTGTCAGACTAAAGTTTGAATCTCCTGTTTTCCTCGTTCATAGGGAATAATCATGTTTTTATCTCTTGGTTATGGTGAACATTCAGTGAGATTCTTCATGTAGACTGCTTAACCTACAATATATGCTCAATGAACGGTCATTCTAGTATCACTTTCCTATTTATAAATCTGAGGCTCTGTTAGCAAATAGCAAATCCACTCTCCACTCCAGACAGACCTTAGCGCCCTCTGCAGCCAGTGTGAGGCGCTCCATCCCCTGGGCCTGAGGCAAAAGCAGAAAGGGAAGACGTGGCTGTAGCTCATCGCCTTCTCTTCCTACCCTGGCTTGTTCCACACTCTGTATAGACATCAAAACTTACATGCCCAGTTCCTATCACACACCCCCTCATGTGAAACATCTGCCACTGGCCTTATAGTGCGTAGACTAGTGGCGGGGTTCACCCTTGGGAAGGACAGTCGGACACAGGGAAGAGGTCAGACACAGGCCCTGGAAGAAGGCTCTGTGGTCTAGAACCTTGTCTAGGTGGTGTCCAGGGGCTTGAGGGAAGGAATGGGTATGAATTCTCCCTGGGCCTTTGGTCTCTTAGCCTGCAAAGAGGAAAACCTGAGCCAGCTCTCAGAGAGGACCCAGAGCAGGGCTCTGGTTGTCTGGCTCTAAAATGGTCCTGTTGTGCAGGGTCCATGAGATGATGTTTATAAATAGCTTAGCACAGTGCTTGGTATGTGTCAAGTGTTCAGCACACAACTGAGTACTTAATAAATATTACTTATTGGTGTTATTACCATTAAGTGAGAATCTGAGCGCTGACTCTCTGCTTCAAGAATGTGATGGGGTAGATGAGACTGTCCAGGGCAGCCACTCCAAGCCCTTTGGTTGAGTTGGGATGGCATCCTGTGGGGCCATCCTGCTTGCTGGAGACAAGAGGGACTGCTCTGCCTCCTGGGAGCTATAACTGACAGCACTGTGTCCTTCCCAAGGTGACGGAGACCTCTGCAGAGAGTGACTTGGCAGGGACCTTCTCAGAGGTGAATAGACATAGGTTTAAGATGGGTTGCGGCCTAAAAACCCTGTTTATGGGGCACCCACTGTATGCAAGGACGCTGTGCTACAGTTTTTCTCCACAACTCTGTGAAGGAGGTACACTTCACAGATGAAGGAATTGAGCTTCAAGAGGGTGAATGAGGCCAGTGGTGGTGGTGCCTGTCTGTAATCCCAGAGCTCTGGGAGTCTGAGGCAGGAGGATCCCAAGTTCAAGCCCAGCCTGAGCAACTTAATGACTTAGAGGGAACCTGTCTCAAATATTTTTTAAAAAAGGGCTAGAGACATAGCTCAGTATAAGAGCCCTGGGTTCAGTCCCCATACTGGGGGAAATAAGAAGATAGATGACTTGGCCAAGGCCACACGGCCGGGGAGGAGTGGAATGTCTGCCTCCAAAGGCCACACACACCCTCTCCACTGCACTGGGATGCTGGCTCATGGGCGGAGAGTGAAAAACCTGTCTAGGGAGGCTCCCACTGATTTCCAAACAGGGATAATGACAGTACAAATTAGGAAAGTGCTCAGTACCAGGAAGCACATAGTTAATCCTGTTGCTCCTTTTGCCAACTGAACCCAACCCCACAAGACACCTCGGAGCTGCTCTGCGACCTCGGAGAAAGCTCCATTCTCAGCCACTCTTGCACCTGAGGGCTGTTTGACAGAAGTGGGCATGAATGCACAGCATCTCAGAACTCTACAGTGCCCATGGTGTGGGTGAGCTCCAATGATGCCCCCCTACCCAGTGTCAACCTCCAAGGGCTTCTGCCCCTCCAGGGACTCCATCTAACAAGTCATTTCTTAGGAGGTCTGCAGGAGGTACTGTTTCTCCACATCCATCAGCTTCTACTTCCTGGTTTATGTCCGCCTGGTCACCCAGTCCTGAAATGAACCAAATAACCAAACCAGGGCCACTAATACCCACTCTGTGTTGGCCCTGGGAATTTTTTTTTTTTTTTTTGACACACAGAGACTCTGTCGTGACTGATTCAGCACTCAAGTTACCAACCAGGTATGGTTACACAAGACATTCTAGATTAACACTGGACAGATAAGTCAGGTTAAGATTGGGTTACCCCGAAAGCAGACTCTGTACCCAAAGTAGTTTCTTTGGGTGGAGATTATAGGAAGCCATAGCAAGGGAATGAGGAAGTACAAGGAAGGAAGGAAGGAAGGAAGGGAGGGAGGGAAGGAAGAGAGAAGGAAAGAAGGAAGGAAGGGAGGGAGGGAAGAAGGAAGGAAGGAATGAATGAAGTAAGGAAGGAAGGAAGGAAGGAAAGAAAGGGGTTAAGGATTAATGAGCAAATTGCTTCCATAGACTACTGGTACTTACTGCTTCTGGAGACTCCTGGGAGATAGTACAGAAAAAGTCTCAGAGCTCTCCCACTTGAGGTGGGAAATACTGGGTATTTATCAACCAACTTCTGTTTGTCATTGGTCATGGACTGTTCCTGGTGCATTAACTCCCCAGGGCTCCTGGCTGCCTCATGCAGGGCAGCAGGAGATAGCATAACCACACAGTTATAGCATTTTGCAGTGAGCAGCCATCTGCAGGACGGTGCAGATGGGCAGCTATAGGATCCCGCGTGGTGCCAGAATTTCTGAGTTCTGCTCGGTTAGGATAAAACAATACTCTGAAACACCAAACAAATTACAAGTAAAAACTTTATTGCTCCAGCCATTTTACATGAATGTCGCCAACACCACATCTGGACAAATATATAAAAAGCAACTTTATTGTACAATCGTTTCAACTTTTTGACTCATACACTGTACAGATACTTCCCAGGATCTTTCCCACCATGATGGGTGCTTTTCAGGCACAGCAGCTGCACTTGTCAGAGCCCCCTTTGCAGATGCAGCCCCGGGCACACTTGGCACAGCCTGGGGGGCAGCAGGGGCAGCAGCCTAAAAGGATTAGAAGATGAACAAATCGGCTTTGGGTCCATGTTTCCAGCTTACCCCTGCCCCAATTCATATTAGCAGGAAACCTGGGACAAGAGGTTATGGGATGTTAGCTGGCAGGGACCTCAGGGGTCATCTAGAGTCCATCAGAGACCCAGAAAGAGGAATAGGCTTGCAAAGGTTATGGACAGTGGCAGGTACAAGACTAGACCCCAGGGCTCAGGACTCCAGGACAGGCTGTATCCCCTTTGCCACAGGACAAAACAGAAGTTCTTCTCAGTCTTCTTGTTCCTACACCTTGCGTGCTCTCCTGCCTGGGTTGGCTGCAGCCCTGGGGATCTCTGTCTCAGGCATCTACTCCAGTTGCCTTTCAATCCCTCCGAAATGGGTAAAAGGCATCCAGAACCCTCTCCATCACACCATGGCTGGATGGTAGAGGATGAGGGATCAGACCTTTCTAGCTCCCAGCCAGTAGTTTGCCCAGTCACCATACTCACTTTTGCGACATGTTTTACAGTTGCAAGTTGTGCATTTGCAGTTGTCTCCACAGATGCACATTCCTCCTAGAAGAGAGGACACAAGCACATGACCATGAGGACAGAGATGGAGTGGAACACAAGGCCTGCTGCCGACTGTCACTGTGGCAGGGCTGCTGGGCTGTGCTTGGGAACAAGAGGGTCACATTGCTGCAGAGTATCACCCCAGTGCTGAGGACTGTCCAGTGGCTCCAGCCAGAGACCTGGATGGGAACCGGAGTGGCTGCATGAAACTCACCTGGAGTTTGTTAAAATGCACTTTCCTGGGCCCCAACCCTTAAGATAGTCTGATTCATAAGTCTGGGTAAGAAAAGGAATCAGGGTTTGTAGAAAGCAACCCAGAGGATTCTGATGTATAATCAGGGTTGGGAACCACTAGATTAGGTGAGCTCCAGCAAGGCCAAGGTTCCTCTGGGAATTCTTAAGTTTTTCAGGCCTCCTCAGCTTTGCAAGGCAAGATGGAACCCCTGAGCCAGGCAGAGAAAGGGTAAGGGACATAAGTGAGTCCAACGTGAGCAGCATGCCTTGTTTTCTCTTTCTTTCTTTCTTTCTTTCTTTCTTTCTTTCTTTCTTTCTTTCTTCCTTCCTTCCTTCCTTCCTTTCTTTTCTTTCTATTTCTTTCTTTCTT